GCCGCAAAACAATTATTTTTCTTACTGCGCTGTTATTTCCATGACAGTTTCTTCCATTTTTCACAGAGATTAAGGGATGAAAGAGGGTCAGTTGGTGGGGAATTTAATTCTCCGTCGAACTACTCTTTTTTCATCCCTTAATCTCAATTAGGAGGGGAGAAGTGAATTTTTAATTCGCGAGCGAATGGTAAAAAGTCACTGTGCGCCGAGAACAAAATTATTTTTCTCACTGGTCCATGACTTTGTCGTAGTTTGTATTTTTTTGTTACAGAGATTAAGGGATGCAACGGGGATCGATTGATGGGGAATTTAATTCTCCATCACACCCTCTGTGTTTCATTCCTTAATATTAATTAGTCAGCAAATGAATCACCTGAAAAACATTAAGAACATGCTGAGGACGAGGAGGACACAAATTGCACTCCGAAACTATCCCTATGACAGCGGGACTGCTACTGCCGATTTACCCGCACAGGCAGTTCGCCCAGCCGTCAGATTCGACCGTAGCGGCATCCCTCCGTTGGGGTCGAACTACTTTTGGCTTGGGGTCAGTCTAACCCCGAGATCTTCGCCTCTACTTTAGTCAATCCTCTTTGCATGTACTTATGGGCAACTATGTTTTTGGGCTAGTCTGCCGAGTGTGCCATCTCGTTCTAACCACACCATGGGCTAGTGTGGAAGAAGCAACGAAACCCCCACCCCCCTGATAAGCATTGAACAGATGTCATTATATTTCAAGAGAGAATGCATGGCACTTGCCCCTATCTGAGGACGGGGATATAGCCAGTCAAAGTCAAAGGAATAGAATACAAACCCCCCTGATACCAATCGCCAGTCGCTGTGCTGCTCGCCTGACTCTGACCAATATTGGTTATGTGTTAACCCAGTGCTACATAAGTAGTCACAAGACAGTTTTCATGGATTTAATAAATTATCACATTTGATTTGAAACTCGTGGAGTGACAGAGTGAAAATGGCTATTATGAAAATTTTGTTAAGATCGGATATCAGAACATACTCCGGTGTCAGGGTGAGTAAAGTAGCATTATCAATAACCATACTCCATCAGAACTTCACTAATTAGTGAATTAAAACTTTATGCCTTACTCCCGGGAAAAAATTCTGATGAATGAAAACATTAACCAAAGGACACAATAGCATAGTCATTACAACAAAGATGAATGTGTCTAAATAACCATTGAAAATTAAAAATAATTTATATTGAAAAAAATATGAAAATAACAATAACAATAAAGCCGCGAAAATTACGTGAATAAACTCACGTTCCTAGGTTTTATGGTATCCTTAAAATTTCTTTCTTGCTCTAGTATTTCCCCAATGACTTTCCCTCACTGACAAGTCGTAGAAAAGTTTCTAGGTCAAGGTTCATTCGTACAAATATACTTTCACCTTGAAATAAACAACTACCCAGCTGTTTATAGACCAATCAAAATTAGACTGACAGCTGAACTTTCTTCAAGGTAATTCACCAAAAACAACAACAATTCTTTCTTTATGCATTATTACTGACAAAGGCTTGGGGTTAATTGATTCAATAATGGAATAATAAGTTAAAAACTATTTTCATTAAAGGAATTGATTTGTAGTTAAAGGGGGAATTGAGCTCATTTAGCATTTTATGACAGAAGATGAAGCTGAATGAATAAGGGACAAAAAAAATCATGACAGATCAGAATTTTTTCTTACAAATTACTACAAAGGCGATATGACTCATCACGCAGCATACCTGAAGCTGATAATTGTCTAATGATTCAATTTACATACTTTCTCCTATGTACGCGTCAGAATTCTGTAACGAAAATATTGAAGCGAAATGAGTTTAAAAATTTTATAGAAACAATTTGAAAAATAAGACAACTATGAAATTCAAGGAGATTGACCACGGAAACATTTTCGAAATCCAAGTTTTTTCACAAAAATGGCCTTTGGAATTTTTTCAACCTCTTTCTACGGGTAATATTCCCCTAAAAGATTTGCAAATTCTTTCTAGGCAATTTGTAACCAAAGAAATTCCAAACAACTAGTGGCATGTATATCTCAAACTGTAGGAATTCGGCGCCTACATATCCAATTCTGTCTATTCAATAAACTATTTCAAACATGAATTTCATTTGTTTATAATTTTTTTTTCAACACGATCATTTGAATCGATTTCACAATTTTTACTTTTTTCTCCTAAAACTAAACGTGCTCGCGAAGTTTTGTGAACAAAGCCGTGTAAGTTTCGTCCCCAAGCTCAAATGCTACCAAAATTTGTAAGACCGTGTTATCAAATTGAGATAAAAATCGCGGAAATTTTTTTCGCCCAGAGACTTTTCTAACAAACTTATATGATAATAAAATTATGTAAATCCCTTGCTGTAGAAGATATTTTTCAAAATATCTATCAATTCACTCCGATAATTTTGAATCCAGAAATCCTCTAACGCGAGTTATTTCACATGTCTTTAAAACTATTACGGAGTTAAATGGGAAATATCGAAAAGCTTCGTATTTCATACACTAATAGACTGATTCATTTATTCCAAACGAGATTCGTTAACTATTAACGAATGGTAGAGTTGAATATGATCAAACGAATATTCGTTGATAGTTAACGAGTGGTTCACATGAAAGGTGAAAATCAAGTCAAATAAGCCTCAAATGTGCGTTTGTTAACTATTAACGAATGAACATTTGATGAGACCGCATAGACCCTCGTATCCAACCAAATCCATTCGTTAACAATAACTAATCGTTTCTACCAGTGTAGAATGCTCTCCATTAAGATATTTTCAAAATAGTCGATAATTTCCTCTACTTATTATTATATTTAAATATAATATGACCTTATTATTCATATTTATTCGTAAACATCAACAGTCAGCAAAAAAATGCTAGCAAAGCACCTGTAAGTGCTCTTCCAATTGTGATCATTTTAGATCTCCACATATTTTTCCTCTGAACTAAATTTTTTTATTTTTCAAAACACCCATATGACAAAATATAATTCAATTTTAAATATATTTAATGCACACACGAAATTTTTTGTCGAATTTGCTACTTAATATTATTGGACTTCTATTGAACATCTATTGAAAATTCTATTATTATTTCGCCAATTCTATTAAAAAATTCCGCAGCTTTACTGCAGTCTTTCTAACAGAAAATGTCTCGTCGAAACTATGATATGAAAAATCAGTAGAATGTAATCTTCCTGTACAACTTTCAGTAGGTGGCAGATAAATTTCTGTAGAAAATGTCTCAATGAAACAATTTATTGAGAAAAATAAAATTTTATTAATTTCCTTGATGAAATATTTTTTATTGAATATTTCGGTTGAAAAAAACGACATATGTTAAACTAGCAGGCAAAACTAGCAGAATCGAAATTTCAATATTGGACAATTTGCAGCTTATTATGAGTTAATTTTGTATGCCTTCAAAAATTTTTTTGCTAATACCGTTTTTGAAAAAAACGTGTCTAGCTTTTTTGGAAGTTCGCAGAAAAATTATTTAAAAAATCAATAGAATTTGATTTTCGATGTCCGATAATTTAAAGCTAATTAAGAGTTAATTTTCAACGTTTTCAAAAAGTTTTCAGCTAACCCAATTTTTGTAAAAACGGCGTCGATGCTAGCTTACCGCAGGTTAGCAGAAAAAATGGGTAAAAAATAAACAAAATTTGGTTTTCGACATAGGATAATTTACAGCTCATTAGCAACTATTTTTCACGATTCGAAAAATTATTGAAGAAAATTTGTTTTTCTCAAAAAAAAATTTTTTCTAATAAAAACATTTCAATGTTTTTTTTTTTCAGAAAACGACGCATTTACATACTTTTGACGAAAATATAGAAATTAACTCAGTCTCATGTATAAAAGTGGCAAAAAAATCATTTTTGACATTGAATAATTGAAAAATCATTACCAAATAACTTCTTCCCTCCGGGTCGGGAAGTTAAAAATAATACTAAAATGAAAATGTCTGAAATAGACCATACATTCGGAAGCATATTGCTAATTTATTAGCAACAAAACTATACGCACTTACAGGAAATGCAATTATCCACTTGTTTTTTTTTTGAAACGTGAGAAAAATAGGTGCTAATGAGCTTTAAATAATCGGATGTCGAAAATCAAATTTTGTTCATGTTTGAATCATTTATTTGCTAATATATGGCAAGTTTTGGGTGCATATAAAATTAGCTCATAATAAGCCGCAATGCTATTGTTTTCCGAACGACATAAACATGAAAACTTTTGGAATTATAAAAAATTATCTGGTGATTATTTTTCAATTACCCAATGTCAAAAATGATTTTGTTGCTACTTTTATAAATGAGATTTACAAGGAGAGGTCACGCCGTTCGGGTCACCGATTTGGCTGGGTCTCTGTGTATTTCGAGAGGCCCACTAGTAGAGTGCATCCCTAAATCCCTAGGGTGGACAACTCGGAAATAAGGGAAAAATTCCTGTTCAAACTTTTGAGTTATTTTCGCAGAAAATGTTCTTTTTAGCACAGCTCAATCATTCAAAACCTAATTACGGAATTTTTGTATCATTTCAATTAAAAAATGTAACAGAAATTGAGGAACAAGAAGTAAATTTTATTGTTTTCAGTCACTGTCAGTTGTACAATTTTTTGGATGATAATTATCATAAAAACAAACAAAACAAATTTATCTTGCATCTACTACAAGAGATGAAGACTGTATTTTTGCAAGCACAGGGCGTTTGCAATTTATCAACGGGAAAACATACCTCACTGACATTCAGGAAAATGTTTCTTTCATCGGATAGTTTAGACGCAAACCATGCGTATTTGATCATTGACTCACAAACCGGAGCTGATAATTGATGATGGATCAATGAGTGGATTCGTATCGCATCTTCGCGAGATGCGATATCACGTTTTTCTGCAACCAAATATGTGCAGTTCTGAATTTTCTTGATGAAAATTTTTTATCTGTCTATGCAAATACACATCACATGATTGACAGATTGCAGTACATATCGGAGGGATAATTTTCATGGTACAAGTTGGCAGATTTTCTTGATTGAGGAAAATTTCATGGTAAATCACCGGATTTGTGTGACCCTCCCCAGGAATCGACTATGAATAAAAAATTATTATCTTCTACATAAAATTGGATTACTTTTTCAAGAAATTCACAATACAACCCCGACGTCAATTTGCCGGATTTCGAGCAAGTTACCACAACATTACCGAACTCATTAGTCAAAGCGTCGACAGTTTTTTTCACTCGTGGGCCGAAAGATCCTGTGGTCTCCTGCAAACACAGGAACACATGAGGCAACAATTTTCCCGACATTGTGATGCCATACTGTGCTGTGTACGAGTGACTCATTTGTTCAGATCAGTTTTTTCTACCAGCACAGTTCTTGACCCTTTTTCTTCAAGTGTCCTATCATAAGCAGACTGGTATTGATAACCCATCTGATCGGTGTTGATGATGAGTGCATGCTGGAAATTCTTGGTGATTGCCTTTACTTGTGTACAGAATTTTTTTGCCGCCTCCAGGACCTCTGTCATTGTGCAGTGCTCCTTGCGGCTGATGTACTTGGTGACTTTCCGCTGACGAATGTGGTGTTTCCTCTTAAATTTTTCTACCCAACACGTTGAGGCCTTGAATTCGAAGTTCGAATCCCTGAATTGGCTAGCAGCGGCCAATGCCTACTCCCGCAAATTCCTCGTTGTTACCTGAAATAAAAAAAAATATTGTTGGTTCATTTTCCTGCCATTATACCCCCCTTAGGAAGGGACAACGTTCAAGTCAAATTTTACCTGTGCGTATTCTGCCCAAGCCTCTACAAAGCGATCATAGGTCTATGAATCGATGGCAGCATATTTTTCATAGACTGTTCCTCCCTTTGCGACATCTTGCTCCCAACGCTTCAAGTCATCCTTTCTCTTCAAACTCCGTGAGCCTTTCCTCTGGAGTATCTCCAAGCTCCAAGTTGGATGTTCTCTGGCCAACCTCAGCACTTTGATCTTACTTTCCAGGGG